TCAATAACTTTTAGTCCTCCATCCTTTGTGTCTTTAACCATACTGCTTTTCTTCATATAATGTGGTCTGTTCCTCCAAATGAAGTTTATGTTGATTTGGTTGATAGATTTGATCAATTTGTTTGGAATGGCATTGGAATAGGCTGGGTAAATACATCTCGATAAACATTCCATCTTAGTTAGGTAAATTCGACCTAGTATTGATAGGTCCCTCTGTAGCCACATATTTAGTCTTGACTTGCATTCTTTAATTTTATTTTCTACATTCAGAAGTTGGCTTTGTTTTTGGTCCTTGGAAAGGTAAACCCCCAGGTATTTAATTTCTGATTTAATAGGGATATTACAGATGTCTTTCAATGAAGTGTCGTGTACAGCCAGCAATTCACACTTTTTTAAGTTTAATGTTAGGCCCGAGGCTTTGGAGAATTTTTCAATTTTGGCAATAGTTGTTGAAATTTGGTATCTATCTTTTAAGAATATTGTTGTCATCTGCTAGTTGGCTGATTATTATGTCTGTGCCAAGTACATTAAGTTTTTTAATACCATTACAGTTTTTAATATAAATTGCTAGCATTTCTGTGGCTAAGATGAACAGGTATGGTGAGATGGGGCAACCTTGAGGAATACCCACATTAATCTTGAAGCTTGGGGTGGTACCACTAGGTAATAGGACACAGCTATTAAAATCTCGATATAATCCACCAACCAATTCTCTAAACTTGACTCCAAAGCCAAAGTGTTCGAGCGCCGAAAGAATAAATGGATGCTCCACGGAGTCAAATGCTTTATAGAAGTCTAGAAAGAGAAGGAAACCATCATCCTCTATTTGGCTTCTATACTCAATGATGTCCATTACCAATCTTATATTATTATGGATTGACCTTCCTTTTAAGAACCCTGACTGTGTATCTGCAATAAGATCCGAAATCCCTGTTTGAAGACAAGAAGTGAAGATGTAAGTTAGGAGTTTGTAGACTGAATTTCTGAGTGTAATGGGTCTTCTGTTATCTATGATTCTGGGATCTTTCCCAGGTTTTGGAATTGAAACGATAACCCCATGTCTCATTGTTGGTGGAAGCAGACATGTTTCAAATATTTCGGTAAAAACTTGTTGCAGCAGGTCTCTTAAATCTACCCAAAAATGTCTGTAAAAGTCACATGTGAGACCGTCGGATCCGGGGGCTTTGTTAAGAGAGAGACGACCAATTACTGCGTCAAGTTCTGTACTTGTTATTTGATTATCACATGTTTGTTTGAGGCCATCCTCTACTTTGGGAATATGTTTAGCTATATCCTGAAAAAAAGATTGACAGTCCATGTTAGAAAATTTAGAGCTATAGAGCTGGCTATAGAATTTCCAGATTTCTGAAGAGATCAGTTTTTCATCTGTGACTTCATTATTACCAACCATCAAGGATCTGATGCTATTTTTTTCCTGTCTTCTTTTTTCAAGGCCACAGAAATACGCTGAATTTTTCCCCCTCCTCAATCCACTTAGCTCTGGATCTAATGAAGGCCCCTTGGGCCTTACGACTGTAAATTTCATCTAGGTTGGAGGTTTAATATCTTCTGTCTATCGTCTTCAGTTGGGTTTGACCTATTGCAGTACATATTTAGCTGATTAATGTCTACTTCTTGTTTTTCACTATCTTTTTTTTATTATTTTACTGAATGAGATGGTAAATTGGCGTATTTTATATTTTAGGAATTCCCACTTTTTGGTAGCAGTTGTTAGCTCCTCAGAATTGGCAATTTCTTTAATTAATAATTTGATTTTTTGGCAATAGTCATTATTTTTGAGCAGACTGGAATTGAACTTCCAATATGTGTGTGAGTGGACATTGTTGCCATTGGGTTTGATCTGTAGTAAAATAACACTATGATCTGTTAGTGGTGCAGCAGAAATATCAGAGCTAGTATTATAACCTAGTAAATGATTTGCAATTAACCAGTGATCAATTCTGGATTTAAAATTGTGGCTTGAGCTAAACCAGGAGTATTTAGATATTCCTGGATTTAAGTTTCTCCAAGTATCAACCAAATTATGTTTTTCGCAAAAGTTCGTGAATATGGTGTTTGGATGACTTGCTGAGTATCGGCAAGGATATTTATCAAAAAATTCATCATGAACTAGGTTTAGATCTCCTCCAATGATAATGTTATCAGTTGAGTGTGTTAATTTGAGATTGTCTAAATGTAAGCCAATTTGTTCAAGTAGGTTACGGTTTTCTCTGCTGATGTTATAACCATAAATGTTGACTAAGATGAATTTCAGACCATCAATGTTTGTGATAAGAATCAGCCAGTGACCAAACTCATCTGCCATATGGGACACAATATGACCTTTGAAGTTATTTAGGAGGATGGCGACTCCTGCTGACCTTGAAGTGCCATGGCTAAAGTAAGCTTCATCTCCCCATTGTTTAGACCAAAATATAACATCATCAACCTTAGAATGCGTTTCCTGCAAAAAAATTATATTTGACTTCTTCCCTTTACAAAATAAAAAAAAACTTTTTCTCTTTGTCATGTCTCTTAAACCCCTTGCATTAACAGAAATTAGAGAGATGTTACTCTTTAAACTGAACATAGAGTAAAAACAAATGAACAAATAATCAACAAAAAAGGATTGCTGAACTTACTTAAAACAACAGTAGAAGTTTTCTATCAGGAATAGCCTATATAATAGCAAAACCCTGAGAATACGTTTTCATTCAAACTCACTTGTTTTCGGGATTCAAAAACCCTGGATAGTTGTGTCTATGGTGAGACTCTTTGTCCGTTAATGAAAGCATGGGGGCCCCGGAACACTGTCTTTAGTCCTGCCTTCCTTGCTTGCTTACCTTTCGGCCACACAGCCCTCCGTGCCTCTGTCTTCTTTGGTGAGGTCTTCAGCGAAGTGGATGTTGAGATCCTTGCAGACGGGGTGAAGTTTGGTGATCCGCCAGAGTTCGTCCCTGAAGTGGCGTCCTGTGAACTGCATGATGATCTGACGAGGGCGGTTGGTGTTACTCGGCCCCAGTCGGTGCACCGAATCCAGGATGTAATCCATCTTCTCCCTCCATTGTGGCACAATCTTTCCGATAATATCAGAGATGATTTGTCGTGTGTTTTCATCCTTTCCCTCCTGTAAGCCATTTACTCGCAGGTTCCATCTTCTTTTATAACGCTCCAAATCGGCAGCTCTTTTTTCCACTTCTGCTGCTCTTTTCCCAAGTTCTGTGTTCTCCTCTTTGAGTTGTTTCACCTCGATGTGCAGTTTTTGGCACTGTTCTTTACATTCTTTGATTTCGGCAGAGTTAAACTCTACCGCTTTCGCGATGTTGGCTATGGTCAGCGTGTTCTGCTTTAGCTCCGCTTTGAAGTCCTGCATCATGTTTTGAAGAGTGCCGATAGCAGCCAGGATCGCAGCGTTAGAGGCGTCTTCAGCATGGGCTCCAGCAGCCACGACGTCATCTGGTTTTGACTTTTTCTGTGGTGCTGGTGGTTTGGTAGGAGATGTTAAAGTGTTTTTGGTTCCTCTGGTGTTAGTTTCCATACTTTCTGGACCATTGTAGTCGTGTTCTTGGAGAGCCTTCAATTTAGCATTAGCTTTTGTGCTAGCCATGTTATGGTCTGCAATAACGTTCTCCAGGAGCTGCTCAGGGTTACTTACACGTTTCTGAATTATTATGATAAGTTCCCTACGGTTTTACATCTGATAAATCAGGGTTTAGTTGAGTTATAAGTTCATTCCGTTGATTTTTTTTTAGGCTTTGCTACTTTGAGCTATTCATAGTGCGTCTGCTCTCTTCGCCATCTTGTCACGCCCCACAGCCCGAGAGAGCTTCGGTGCCGGAAGTAAATTTCCCATTCATTTCTCCCATTGACGTTTTGGAAAAACCGTATCTAAAGAGTTTGAGCATGTCTGAGGATAACCAGCTACGGCTGAACTCATAAGCATACAACATATCATTTCGAGTGAAAAAACGAAGAGAAAATCCAAAAAAAGTCAAAGGTACAAGACTGTGTACATATTTTAATTTCCGAGCGAAGGAACTACTCATCCCATAAACCACTGCGCCTCACTGAAGTCGACTGAAGCCACAACCGCGAAAGAGCCTTTTGAGCGACTTCCAAATCTGACGACGGCCACGCAAACTTTTTAAGTCAGTAAAACTGTTAATGCCAAATTTAAATGTCCTTGGACAAACTACACTACAGTCCTGCCTATGGAGGGGCCTCTGAATTCTTAGACCACATCCATCCCCCGCACTTTTGAAAAGCTTGCTATGCCCTGCATTTTAAATTAATAAATAATAATGAAGTCCAGGTTTTGAAAACTCTTCGCGATCGACTTAAAATGCTTCCAAGATCGACTTGTCGACCGCGATTGACGGGTTGGTGACTCCTGTAACGTTACTGTTTTACGGTCAATAGTACTAATCAGCTGATTGTCAAAGCCATTACACAGCGAGGGAGAAGAACTACATAAAACAATCCAACTACATATTTTACACCACTGACAAGGTAAAAGTCACTACTCAAGTTGTGTATGGCTAGCTTCTAGCTTTCTGCAGCTTCTCTTTCAAGGTAGTGACGAAACGCGCTGTTTGTTTGCTGTTTTTCGCTGTCGGCTACGGTAGAAACATGACGTCACAATATGTCGACCTTCATAGAAGGGGGTGCCCGCGGTTATGTAGATATAAATGTCTCATTCTAAGGTAATAAAAACATAACGGTTCATTGAGTAAGGTCTTTACACCCCACTGAACACATAGTTATGGATCTTATATTGCATTTCTGTCAATAGATCCTAAGAAATATCACACATTGCACCTTTAAATCATTTTTAAGACACTTGTTGTCACACACAGGAGACAGACAGGTTTAATTGAACACAGTGTTTATTAAAAGCAGAGTGGTGCTGGGACAACGGGAACAGGACGATGGTGAGAGGATGGTGACTTGTAGAATGATGATGGTGACTGAAGTGGATTTCTGTGCAGGTGACGAGTGAACACACAGACAGGCGGTCCGGATCAGCATGACGGACAGAAGACGGACTGAAGACTGCATACAGGACGAGAAGATCTCAGGTGAGTAGATTGGTTAGGAGTCTGACAGAAAGCAGTGTATTACTGCGACGAGACCAGACAAAGAGTGAAATATAAAGGCTGTGTTGATGAGGGAGTGCAGGTGCAGCGAGTCAGTACTCTGGTGATTGAGTGATGATTGGGGCGGTGACGTGTGGCTGACTCTGTGACAGTTTTTCACTTGGATCTATTTTTATTACCACCATTTTTTTATCAGATGACTCAATTAATCAATGGAATAATCGGTAGAATACTCGATTTCTAAAATAATGGATAGCCGCCTCTAGGGGTGTGCAAAAAAATCGATTCACATGTGAATCGCGATTCAAGCTTTACCGATTTAAAATCGATTCATTTTATTTATTTTTTTAAATGGCATGCAGGGGTGCAGTGGCAATCGGGAGAGTCTGGGCTTTTCCCAGTGGGCCGGTAGTGTTTCGAGGCCGCGAGGGCCGGTCTGATAATAGTTATACATTGCAAGTTCTTAGCAACACCATCCGGCGGCCTGGTGTGCCACGCGTGTCAGAAGGTAAGGGTTCCTCCGCACTCGTATATTTTTTTTTTCTCTCTCATCAAAACCGAATATGTTCATCAGTGGTTACAGCCTATATCAAGCAGGGACACGTTTGTGTGCATTTTATTTTGTGATTTCACCGGAATGAATCTCTGCAACAGCGATAGATTGAAGAGCGCGTCCGAGTGAAGACTGTGCGCGAGCCACAAGAGAACAACTGTATCCATGCAACTGATAGCAGCGAAACCGAGCGCTCAGCTTGATTTCAATAACAACAGATTTAAGCGCTATATCTCTTATTTAATAGCAAACTAAATTAATGCTCTGCTAGTTAACTGGAGATGTTTTATTTATTTGTATTAGGTACGTCCGTGCAATGTTTCAAAAAGTGGTGGGGGACAATATCGATCCTGAGAAAAGGGGTTGGGGACATGTCCCATCCGTCCCACCCGCAAATTACGCCTATGACACGACTTCACTGGATCTAAACAAATCAATATAACCATAGATGTGACCAGTAGCAGTGGCTTTTTTAATCTATTTAAAATAATTTTGCAAAGGTTCTATGGCATTAGTATATTTTTTAGGAATTTTAGGAGAGTTCACATTTCAACAGTCAACCTGGTAGCTGAAGTACTCCTTACACCACATTTAGCATGATTGTTTGTTTGATCTGACTACAACACTTTAAAGCTAAATGTAAAAGCTTTTTATTTAAGTTTTATTTTAAACTTGAATTAAATGTATTTGAAAGCTGGCCAAAGCTTGGCACTTTGCACTTTTTAGTTCAAAAGTTTTTATTTTTGTATGAAGACATATAAAGTAATATCAAACTACATTTAATTTGTTGTGTTTCTTTTCTTTTAAATTGTATGTCTACTGCAATCAATCGCATAGGAAAAAGTAAACTACATTTACATACTGCGAATCGTTTTTTGAATCGAGAATCGTTTTTGAATCGAAAATCGATTTTGAATCGAATCTTGAGCCTAAAAATCGATATTGAATCGAATCGTGACATTTTCTGAATCGTGCACCCCTAGCCGCCTCCCTAGCTGAACTATTATGTTCATTGCAAACTGAACTGCAATCAGACGTGTGTTTGAAAACACTCAATACAATTAGGGATGCACGATATGAACTTTTTGGCTGATACCGATAACCGATATATCGGTCTTTGTCAGACACGTGGGTTTGTTGTGTGTGACGTCACCGCGGCGCCATTTTTGAGGTATCGCGGCTGACTGAGAATTAAAGAGATTACAGGAGTAGAAGTAAGAAAGATAACTAATAAGATAACTGTCTAGATAATAAGTAAATATAACTCGCAAACCTGGAGAATCAAAATAAAATTGAGAAAAGGCCGTACCGAGATAAACTCGATAAAGATCCCAGAAACCGTTATTTGGAGAAATTGTCATCCATTCAGAACATAGATCCATATGAGCTGACTGCAGTAAGTTGGAGTGCTGACCCCGCATTGCTACCTCCATCCTCATACTTAGACATTGTCAATTATCTTGTTTATGGTATAAGCGCATATACCAGTCAACAATTCAAAAACTATAAATCTCTGGAAGCCCACGGACATTTCACCAATGGCTGGGTACAGGATTTATATACATTCCGACCGAAGGACTGCGACAACACAGTAGTAACAGCAAAGGTATGTTTGCTGTAATGATGATGATGATGATAATGTCATGTTAACTGTATCATCAGTGCCTGATTAAGGATGGTTTGTTTAGTTTGAACGTGTCAAATAAATTGTAATACTACCGTCTTTTCATGCATTTTTTTTCTTTATTGTATTAATTACACAAACAATACCTAACACAATAAAACAGAAACATTGTTTCAATAAAATAAGTCATCATCATGAAAAATTGGCTGACATATTACTGAACTGCAGCCAAAGTAAGTTGTTGTCCACAGATCCTGCACTCGCAATGGCTGAATGAGACGCCACTCAAGCCCTGGGCCATCATCAGCTCATCAGGGGCTATAACTTCTGGTCACTGCACATGTATGGCGGGAATTGCCGAAACATGCACACATGTTGCAGCTTTGCTCTTCAAGTTAGATTTGATGGTTTCTCTGTGAAAGTCTCAAAACAGTCAATGATCACTGCTACTCTGTGTCCAAAGGACTCCACAAATTGGTGAGGCATAATTTTTTGTAAAGTGTCTCTCTCTGGCCATATGATGGAACGGCTCAGGTTTGCATACATAAATGACACTATTTCATGAAATGTTCTGTATACTGTCTTTGGGGAAACATGAAAGAGATGGGCTAGATGTTGTGCAGGCAGATCCAGTCTAAGGCGCATAAAGGTTAAGAGAAGCATTTGAAATGGACTAAGAACTTTCTTCTTTTGGTCTGACATGAGAGGCACCAAAAAATGTAGTAAGGCCATAAAGGTTCCCAGGTTTGGCAGCCCTGTGTAGTACTTTACTTTGTCATCATTGTCTCCAAAAAACTATTACACATCCTGTGCTCATCAAGTTCACGTCGCAGCTGTCTGTTTTCTTCCAACAGGCGGTTTACTTCTGTACATCTGTGCACACATAAGTTACATTCTGCCATCCCCTGAGTGTTGTGGGTCTCTTCCTCAGTGTGTCGCTCACCATCTCAGCCGCTTCCCACATAGCAACACTGTTTCGGCGCAGATCCGGCCCAAATCTGGCACTTGTGGAATACTGATCTGGCCCACATGCAGCGTTGAATGACGGCCCTTGGGCGGACCACTCCTGTTTGCCAGATCTGGGCCACAAGCAGGCCATAGCAGTGCCACATGTCAGCCAAGAGGAAAGAAATAAACCAGAACTGGAACTTTTCTGAGCCACAAAACCTGTGTATATTAAATATGGAGTCATCTAAGCCTTAAAAAGCCTGTTAACAAGCAGAATCACTGAAGGAAAGAAGAGAACAGAAAAAGAGACAAGCAGAAACAAAAGAACTACAACTGACTTCCAGTCACAGCCTTAGATGAAATCAACTGAAGATTAAAAGAAGACATTAAATCTGTGAAGATCTCAGCAGAGGAGGATTAAACTCCACAAACAGCATTACCAGCTTCACTTATTACTAACCAGACTGACTTTATTTCTGTCAGACGTCTACAAAAGTTCTTATTGAGAATTAAGAGGGGTTTAACTGTTTCATTTGAAGTTACCATAAAAGTGATTAGTGTTTCCATTAGTTGTGCTCTTAACTCTTAATATGTCTTTTATCTTTTTTTGGCTTCTATGACAGTGTGTTTGTCAAACACATTTACAGCAGCAAAGAAAGCTAAAGTGAAATGAGATCAGGTAATGATGGTTACCTGATTATGGCTTTATAATCAGGAAATAACCAGATTTTCTGATGTCAATTGATTCTAATCAAACCAAACAATTTTATTGAACTATAAATACATGTATCATACAATCCCTGTGTTCCAGCAGTTCTGCAGCAATAAGATTTTGACAACAATGAGCACAACAAATTAGTCTATAGTGAAACACACAGACATCAACAATCAGTGTATGAATCTCAACAATGGTGACAATCAAAAGTGCCATGCACCAATGCATGCTGGGTAGCAGCATTGTACAAAACTCCCAGCATGCACTGCAGCATGAATAAATTATGCAGCTGAATGGTCTTATTATTGTCCAATATTTTGTTTAACCTTAAATATTTGCTGTTGTTTTTGTTGTGACATTTAGTAGCTTTTTTCTGATGTCCAGAATTGATCTGATTATCTGAATATTTTGTTGATTGTCACCATTGTTGAGATTCATACACTGATTGTTGATGTCCGTGTGTTTCACTATAGACTAATTTGTTGTGCTCATTGTTGTCAATCTTATTGTTGCAGAACTGCTGGAATACAGGATACATGTTTTTATAGTTCAATAAAATTGTTTGGTTTGATTAGATTCTAATGAAATCAGAAAATCACGTTATTTCATGATGATTATAAAGCCATCATCGGGTAACCGTCACCTGATCTAATTTCACTTTAGCTTTCTTTGCTGCTGCAAATATGTTTGACTAACACACCGTCACAGCGGCCAAAAAAGACAAAAGATATATTAAGAGTTAAGAGCACAACTAATGGAAACAATAATCACTGTTATGGTGACTTCAAATGAAACACATTAGAGTTAAACCTCTGTTAATTCTCAATAAAACCTTTTGTAGACATCTGACAGAAATAAAGTCAGTCTGGTTAGTAATAAGTGAAGCTGGCAAATGCTGTTTGTGGAGTTGTTTAATCCTCCTCTGCTGAGATCTTCACAGATTTAATGTCGTCTTTTCTCTTCAGTGGATTTCATCTTACACTCAAAAAAATGATATGTTGGCTTTACTTAACTTTTTTTTGTAAACAGGTTCCACCGGTTCCACATAACTATGTTTCGTTAAACAAACATAATATGTTCATGTAACTTCAACATCATGGAATTTGGTCATTTTAAGCGACCCAATTAAACTCTGAGCTAAT